TCGTTAAGCAACGTTTCGCTATAAATTACATCATATCAAATCTGTAAAGACATTAAGTCTAGATATTGTAAATATCTCAAACGAGAGACAAACTCGAGCCTGCCCACTCTCCATCAAAGTACTTGTACCACACAGCCAGACCCCCAGAAAAGGTAAATCTGTGTAAGATACATAAATTAACACCGGATAAAAAAAAATAGTAAAGGATCAGAGTTACTGAGTTATGAATCTACTTAAAGCCTTAATTTTTAAAGGGGGTGGATCGATAGCTCCAACGACGGGTCATCATCTAAGACCCGCGTCAGGAAACACTTGTTCTGTTTCCTGACGAACTTTGCCTAACCTAACAGAGTTATAACCTTAAGGTAAATATATGTAGTAAAGCCTATTCTGTGACAAATTTGAGAAAGCGAATTTACCAGAATGTTAAGTTCCCTTCCTGATAGAGGCCTAAAGTACAGAAAATGGATATATTGAATGAGCTGTTGTGTGGTGACGACTTAAACTGAAGACTCAGTTTTCTGATGAGGAAAATCTCAGTGATTCATAATACATTAACTAGTATAGCAAGCAAACAAATAAGTAGTTCATTGCGAGATCAAACAATTCGAAACTGGAGCAAGTGAGATAAACACTGTTTCAATGTTAATTTTTTTTTTATTTTAGGAATGAAACTTAAACTACAATAGATTTGAATTACTAAATTTAATTCATTAATCAACAGTGCATCTGAGAGGTAATCTTCATTAGTATCTCAGGTTAATATTCGCGTACTTACTGGTCAAATTATCAAGGAATTGACATATTTAAAGCCTCTTGTTATTCATAATAGAAGAGTCATCCTCATACCTTCTGTAAAATGTCATTTTTAACTGAGTATGGCACTTTTCATGCTGTAATATCTGATAGTGACAAAGAAATGCATTTCCAAATGCGAATGAAAGTGACGACCTCATAGCAACTTAGTGAGTGAGTGTGTGTGTGTGTGTGTGTGTGTGTGTGTTTGTGTGTGTGTGTGTGTGTGTGCACATCGAGGGTGTGTACACAGGGAGGGTGTATGTACACACAGGGAGTGTGTGTACACCGGAGTAAGGCTAGTGTACACCTCCCCAGACAATTTTTAAAACAGAATTTCTCTCTCCCTCGAGGTTTGATGTAATTACCTGAATTCATAAATTTTGGATTTTACGTTATAACCCTTTAAGAGTGAGTCTTCATGCCTGTTAAGGGCTCATATTCCAAGGAATTGGAACTACTCTCATCTTCCTTGGGTCAGGCTTTATATAAATATTATATATATATAAAATATATATATAATATATATATATATATTATATATATATATATATATATATAAATATAAACGTGCCGAATAGGTAAAACTTGCGATTTTTGCTTAAATATCAACGCTCGTCTTGCAGAACAAGGCAAGCGAAAATTTTGTGTATGCAATAATTTCGGAAAAATCATTCTGAATATAAAGAAAAAAATATATTTCATTATGTTTGTTTATTAAATTATTGTAAACTTATCTAAAATACAGGGTGTCCACAAAAAAAAACACTCCTTGATTTCAGATAGGTATAACATGTAACTTTATTGAATAATCGTTTACAGTTAGTAGCTTCAGATGCAGGATTTCCTTCAGTTTCATGTGGTATTGGGTAGCATTAAAGGCACTCAATGTGCGCCTCTCTGGCTGCTCGGCAAACATCGATGTGATAGTCCAGTTCGGTCCAGAAGCTCTGCAGCATATCTGGTGTTATGAGAACTGGCTCAGTGATCGAAATTTTCCGTTCCTCCAGGGTTGCAGGTAGTGGTGGTACGTAAAATGTGCTCTTCACGTATCCCCAAAGTAAGAAGTCACAAACAGGTCCGTTGACGTCGCAGGCCACTTACAGAGGTCACCGGACCTAAACACACACACACACACACACACACACATACACACACACACACACACACACACACACACACACACACACACACACACACACACACACACACACACACACACACACACATTTAAGAAAGGAAACAGAAACGAGGCACTAAACTACAGACCTGTGTCTCTGACATGTATCGTGTGCAAAGTCATGGAGAAGATTATCAGGAGGAGAGTGGTCGAACACCTGGAAAGGAACAAGATTATAAATGAAAACCAGCATGGGTTCATGGAAGGCAAATCTTGTATCACAAACCTCCTGGAGTTTTATGACAAGGTAACAGAAGTAAGACACGAGAGAGAGGGTTGGGTAGATTGCGTTTTCCTAGACTGCAGGAAGGCCTTTGACACAGTTCCCCACAAGAGATTAGTGCAGAAGCTGGAGGATCAGGCACACGTAAAAGGAAGGGCACTGCAATGGATAAGGGAATACCTGACAGGGAGGCAGCAACGAGTCATGGTACGTGAAGAGGTATCACAGTGGGCGCCTGTTACGAGCGGGGTCCCACAGGGGTCAGTTCTAGGACCAGTGCTATTTTTGATATATGTGAACGACATGATGGAAGGAATAGACTCTGAAGTGTCCCTGTTCGCAGATGACGTGAAGTTGATGAGAAGAATTAAATCGGACGAGGATGAGGCAGGACTGCAAAGAGACCTGGAGAGGCTGGACATGTGGTCCAGTAACTGGCTTCTCGAATTCAATCCAGCCAAATGCAAAGTCATGAAGATTGGGGAGGGGCAAAGAAGACCGCAGACAGAGTATAGGCTAGGTGGACAAAGACTACAGACCTCACTCAGGGAGAAAGACCTTGGGGTGACCATAACACCGAGCACATCACCGGAGGCACACATCAACCAAATAACCGCTGCAGCATACGGGCGCCTGGCAAACCTGAGAATAGCGTTCCGATACCTTAATAAGGAATCGTTCAAGACACTGTACACTGTGTATGTTAGGCCCATACTGGAGTATGCAGCACCAGTCTGGAACCCACACCTGGTCAAGCACGTCAAGAAGTTAGAGAAAGTACAAAGGTTTGCAACAAGGCTAGTCCCAGAGCTCAAGGGAATGTCGTACGAGGAAAGGTTAAGGGAAATCGGACTGACGACACTGGAGGACAGAAGGGTCAGGGGAGACATGATAACGACATACAAGATACTGCGGGGAATAGACAAGGTGGACAGAGATAGGATGTTCCAGAGAGGGGACACAGGGACAAGGGGTCACAACTGGAAGCTGAAGACTCAGACGAGTCACAGGGACGTTAGGAAGTATTTCTTCAGTCATAGAGTTGTCAGCAAGTGGAATAGCCTAGCAAGTGAAGTAGTGGAGGCAGGAACCATACATAGTTTTAAGAAGAGGTATGACAAAGCTCAGGAAGCAGAGAGAGAGAGGATCCAGTAGCGATCAGTGAAGAGGCGGGGCCAGGAGCTGAGTCTCGACCCCTGCAACCACAATTAGGTGAGTACACACACACACACACACACACACACACACACACACACACACACACACACACACACACACACACACATTTACGGAGCAAGGAGCTATGACTCGACCCCTGCAACCACATATACGTGAGTACACGATGGCAGGAGAAGTCCGGCCTCTAAAACTTTCATTCTGTGCACCGTACGGTTGATAGCGTGTGGCTGGGATACTGATGATCACAGGTTAGAGACCCACGAGTCTGTCAGACATAAAACCAGGTGTATGTCATATTTAAACCACGATACTTCAGCTATATTGGACGGTATTGTATTACTGATAGGTATTGTATTACTGATAGGAGAGTGCATTGTTACATAATTCACGGGTATTACACTAGATCATCGGAATTTTTTTTTTTAATACGAAGGTGAATACTCTGTTAATAAAACTGTTAGTTATAATTAAATTATTCACAAGCTGGTGCTCTTGTTTAGTGTGAGTTGTGCTCTTGTTTAGTGTGAGATGTGCTTTTGTTTATAATAGTGTGAGATGCGCTCTATTGATGTGCTCCATCAGTATTGATAGAAGTACGGGGAAGCTTATATACTGTAGACAGGTGATGTAAAGCAGTCGGAACTTGTGCCCCCTTGGACAAACCCACAGGTGGAAGTAAGTCATTGCCAAGGTGTTGCTGTATCTGACAGGAATGTAAGTAAATGGTTCAGAGAACCGACAGGGCTGGCTTACCAAGAGTTCCAACCCCACTATGTTCAGTGAGTTATGATTTCGCGAGTCTGTGGAGAAGTGAGATGATCAGTGCAGTGTTCCACAGAAGATGCATTTTCTATTCCGGTATTTTCGACAAAACATTGCGAGAACTATCTTGAAACCTGACTTTGCTATCATGAAAATTCCTCTTCACTATTGAAAAAGTTTTCTAAAGCCAACCCAAAAAAAAAACTGAATAATATCTAAACACCAAAAATAAAACGGTATACCTACTCAGCAGGGCAAGAGGAATACTGTAACGTCAATTCCCACAAGCGACTGCGGTGATGACAGACATCACTGAACCAACATTGGCAGTCACTCCACAAATCGAGCAGTCATCGGGAGGAGGAGGACGAGGAGGAGGAAGAAGAGGAGAAAGAAAAGGAAGAAGAGGAGGAAGAGGTGGAGGAAGAAAAGGAGGAGGAAGAGGAAGAAAAAGAAGTCAGGATGTGTGAATAAGAAATTAACTTGAAATCCTTCCTACAACACAGTATTCCCGGATCATTTCAAGAGTCTTCAGCCTTTAAGCCTAGTACAGCAGACGGAGGATGAAGCCTCCACCGCATCTTGCGTTGAATGCCTCCACATGGGTTTAGCGCTTATAATTAAAAAAAATAGAAATTGAGTCAGGAAGCCAAGGTACAAGACAGCCACTCCACATCCATCACGGACAGGTACCTTGATGCAGGTGAGACGCTCTAGACTCAAAGAATTGTAGCTACCATTTTCTTTCTTGAATCAAACCTAATTACCACCCATTCCCTATGATCTGGCCTTCATTGTTTTAGAGATTTCTGATTACTATATAGATTTAACCACTATATTATCATTTCGTGTCGTTGACAGATTGACCGTGGTCGTGGGGAAACGACGACAAGGCTGGTGGTGTCGTCCGTGGGTCCCGGAGACTCTGGCATGTACTCCTGTGTACCTCAAGGCTCCCACCCCGCCACCGTGCTAGTACATGTACAGAAGGGTGAGTACTACCAACAATTCTGCTTGTACATGTACCATCTTGTTAATACATGATTAAACACGTGAGTACTACTTCGCTACTTAAGGACGAACATGTACAGAGATGTGTGTAATGTGCGTCAATCATCCCGAAACACATTAAATAATAATGTAACTTTACAAGGAGAGAGAGAGAGAAATAGTTCTTTGCTTGTAAATAAAGTTAGGAACCTTAACCTAATACTATAAAACCTTTTGTAAAAGAGAGAGAGAGAGAGAGAGAGAGAGAGAGAGAGAGAGAGAGAGAGAGAGAGAGAGAGAGAGAGAGAGAGAGACAAAAGGGATGTCTGAGGTAGGATGGGAAGAGTACAAGTCATCTTATTTCTCCCACACAGGTAAGCATGAAGCAGCCATCCAGCAGGGCGGCCTGAATGCCGCAGCTCCTCCTTTCTTCTTTTCCTCTTCTGCGCTCCTCTCCTCCTGCCTCTTTCTTCACCTCTGCCTCCTTCCCTTGATCTTTACCAGCGAACTTGGCACTCTTTCCTGCCTGCGCTTCTCTGCCTTCTCTTTGCCTTTTATTTTTCTGGCGCTGATTCTCATTTTTCACTCCTCGGTTAAAACAATTTTGACAATTTTTTTTCTCGTTCTTCTTAGTGCTTTTCACGGCCATATGTTTTTTAGTTTTCTTTTTCTCTCACGGCTGGAGCTCGTACATACACGGAATTCGTTGAGGCCTCCGTCTGCTGTCTATGATTCCTCGTCACTGCCTCCGTCTACTATATATGATTCGTCGTCACTGCCTCTGCCTACGGTGTCTGATTCATCGTTATTACTGCCTTCCTCTGCGGTCTATGATTCATCCTCATCAGTGCCTCCTACGACTCCTGTTACATCCTCTCCATCTCCGCAGAACAACCCAAGCTTATTGACATCACTCTTCAACACGAGCCTGAAATTCCCTTCCACGTCCATTACTTCAACTCTTCATGCACCAGCTGCAGCATCAGTGCCATGGTGGCACTTGCACGCAGAATGGAAGAGGCGTTCCCATGGGTCAACGCTATAGACGGGGGCAGTGAGCTTGTAAATAATAACAAAAAAATGTTTGAAGGTGTCATTATGCTGTATAAAACATTTATAGTAATAGATGTAAATGTTAGTGGTGCGTAATTAAGTAATGCTGCTGCTACCTTATTACCCAACAATTGCACTTACATGTTCCACGTGCCAATATTTTATTTGTACCTTCTATGCTTTTTTGATAAACACGCATATAAACGCAGTATGCTGGGGCAGAGGTAATCTGCTCACAAGCTTAATTAACTTGACCAAGTTAATATAAATATCAGTCAATGGTTCATGTTAATAACATTGTACAGCCAAGCTCAGAGTTGGATTTCCAGCTCTTCCACCCTCAACACCGATCCACCTTCAGGTCAATAATCAATATCAGCTTGTTTTGTTTGCAGTTATATTTACAGGTTTTGAGTTGCTACGCTCCTCAGCTCATTACAAAGTCCAGCTCCACGACTGTGCCATTCATAACGGTACACCATTCATAACGGTACCCAGGTACACCTTCACTGCTAAACAAAGACTGTACAAAGACTGGCCATAGTGTCAACCTGTTCACTAGTGAACCCGGCGTCTTCATTTGTTGTACATGGTACATAATACATAACAGATGAAGAATTAGACACACATGTCGTTTCGTTATCCAGTGACTTTATCAATAAAGTTCAAGGACATAATGGGAAGATTGTGTCGAAGATGGAGTTGGTGAAGTGTACCGTAGCCTTCAAGACTACGGTACACTTCAACTCCAAAGCTGAGGGATTTATTACTTCGTCTTTCGTAAATAGTTCTACAGTCTTCACATTATGTCCTTGAATTGATGTTGATAAAGCCACTGAATTACGAAATTTCTACAAGATACCCAGATGTTGCGTATGTCTAATTCTTCTTTATCCTAAGGCTCTGCTCTCGAGTCACCTGGTAACACACTGTGGCAAATTACAGCACAAACTTTGCAGCATTCAAAGGTCACATCAATTATTGAGCATTAGTGACATTAATAAAAGAGGGGTGAAACTCGGCTTTAGTCCCGTCGGTTGGTACTGAAATGTACTCAACAAATTGTTTCATAACATCATCTCACCAGTTTCAAATACTTTAAGGCTGAGAAACTGAATCCCTTATCTATCATCTACAATTAATTATTTAGCTTCGTATTGAACTGATAAAGCCACTGGGTGACGAAACGTTTTTTAAAATATAAACATTCAGGTATTACACAAGTGAAATCCATAAACAAGTTTCTTTTGCAAGGGTGGAGTCATGACCTCTGATCCCACCTTTTAACTTTAAATGGCGATGTTATTTTCTTCCTGTGCGTCTTAATAATATAATGACCTTCTTGGTTGAGCCTCTGATTTTCTCCGTAAAAAAAAAATACTAATGTGTTTGTTGGGCTGAACCATCCCAAAGAGCTATCCCTGATAAATTAGACACATGTGCAACTCTTGGGTATCTTTATTAAGGAAACGTTTCGCCACAGTGGCTTCATCAGTCCATACCCAAGAGTTGCACATGTGTCTAATTTATCAACGTGTCGTTTCTGTGAACCATTCATCTACAAGAGGTATCCCTGTTATTATTACAATCAAAACACAACGCTAAACACACAAGGGTCATAGAGCGTTACTTGTACTTCATAATTTTATTACCCTGAACTTCGATGCCCTCAAGAGACAGTAGAGCTGCAGACCAACTTCCTCAAGAGACCTAGGAGCTGTAGGTCAACATCTCCAAGGCCCAGGAACTGGATAGCCACACAGTCATTTAGCACCGATATAGTCACTCCATCATTCTAGACGGCCTGAACACACACACACACACACACACACACACACCAAGTTGAAAGACTGATTACCAGAAACTCATCTTCTACCGTTTCTCTCTATTGGACTGAAGAAGCCACTGGCGAAACGTTTCCAGAATGAAGATACTCAAGTGTTGCGCCAGAGTCGTATCAACTTGTGGATTTCCTAAACTGTTTATTCAGACTGATAATTAATCTGGCATCATTACAGCCCAATACTAATTTAAATCTTCCTGGAAATGAAATATATTAATGTAGTTAAATTACTTGGAAAACCGAGACTTTAAATGAGACTCTTGTGTCACATTGGGTATTGTTTCCAGGATAACGATCTCCAGATATTACACAAGTATCTCGGTTATCAAAATATATTAATGATGAACGATTGAGAGCGCGAAACGACACAATGCCTTGACTGGAACATACACGGATGACCCGCACATAGGACAGAGGAGCTTACTACGACTTCTACGTCCGACGTCCTCTTCAAGGGGGGCTCCTTGGCATGGTGAAGAGGCTCTTGGTCTGAGGAATTAGACCTGTCGGTCTCCTTCCTCAGACCGAACCTAATTATCCCCCAATCCCCCCTTCCCTATCCCATCCTCCCCCTCCTCCCCTTTTTCCTTACCTCCTCCTCCTCCTCCCCACCCCTCCCTTTTGCCCTTCCTTTTTTGGCCTTTGGGATTTTTCCCACAGGTGCGCTAATTCCTAGGTAGGGGAAAGGTTACCGGGGTCCACCCCATTCCATTGAGGTTCTTGGCGGTGGCGTAGTTTGCCATGGAATCTGGATCGCCTGGGGATGTCCCGATCCCTCTCTGGTATCCCGGAGGGTGGCTTTGGGTGTCTTTCGGGCGATGGGTGTATCTCTGGAAGCCACCTTTCGGATTCCGGGGGTGGTGGCTGAAGGTGTCGTGGGGGTTCGAAAGGAGATATGATGGTTGAAGATAAACACACTTGTGGATGGTAACACTATATATTGTCAGACTGAGGTAAGGAAGGGCCCAGCCTGCCGTGTTGCTGCCTGGTAGGTCTAAGCGTGGACTGAGAAAGTTACAGAGGTACTCACGTACACATGCGCATCCCGTGACGTCACACAGTCTATATAAAACACATGGATGGTACTATGATACTCAGCTAAGCTATACAACACATGTAAGGGGGATCAGCAACTATGCTGACAAAGGAGGTATGCTTTGTTGTGGATATCCGGCCGCCCTCTCTTTTGTCCACCGAGGTAGCTCGGCAGATGTGAGGTTGCTATCCCGGATTGCTGGTTTACTGGCATGAAGGGAAGGGTATGGCACGGGTTCCATGCTGCATCTGCGCTACTTGCGGTGCTGAGGTCCTCTTGGGCGTGGAGAGAGATTTCTGGCCCTTTCATTCCTCCTAGGAACTATCCCTCCCCGGTCCCCCCTTTTTTCTTTTCTTTATTTTTATTTTCTTTTCTTCTTTCTTTTTTTTCTTAAAAACAAAAAGAAAGAAGTAACCTAACCATGGAGTACCCGATCCATGACCCCGCTACCCCCGGGACCCTTATTGTTACTGCACCCCGTTCTGACCTCGCCTCGTCTTTTGGCCATTCTTCGGACATTCCTAAGGCCCCTGTACCTCTTGCTGGTGCTGTTTCGTCACCCGCTTCAGGTGCCGGGGTTTCGACTGACTCCTTTGATTTGTCTGACCTCTGCTCTCCTTTGACTATGCTTCCGGCCTCTCCCTCTATGGTGCGGCGATTTTCGAATCGCCAGCCCGTCCCACGTCGGACCGACTCTGGTCCCACTTCTAAACGCCAACGACAATCTCCTGATGATGTTACTTCGTTATCTTCCCATTCTACTCAGAAAAGACCGATATGTCATGCACTCCCTCTCCACACTCAGTTTCAGACCAACTTCTTCTACTGCCTATCTTTCCGACCATAGTATTGGCAAAGCGCTCCTACGCCATATTGGTAGAGATATTTCCTTTCATGCTCTTAAGAGTGGTACGCGCATCATCACAGCCCAGAATTCTACCCAAGCTCATGATCTTTCTCTTCTTTCACATATCGATACTATTCCTATCACTATCGAAAAACATCCTTCCCTCAATTCTTTTAGTGGTACTGTTATTCTGCCCCATACCATAGTCCAACAGAATTTCCAGACATGTGGCAATGACATTCTCGAACAGCTGGAATTCTAAGATCTCCGAATTCTCAAGGTAGACACTTATGTTCTTCCTGCCCTCGGGCGAAGACGATACCCATGCAATGTGGCTCGTTTAACTTTTGACAGCCGTGAACTCCCATCCTCTGTTTATGTAGCAGGACATCGGGTACAAGTTTGGAAGGTGATCCCTACACCGCAACAGTGTAGGAATTGCTGGCGATTTGGCCACCCAGCAAAATATTGCAGATCTATAGCCGAATGCCCAGTCTGTGGTGCCGATGACCAATCTAATACATCTTGCCTTAATTGTCATGAGGCTCACCCTTCGTACTCTCGCCGTTGCCAGGTCTACTTAAATGAGCGGGAAATTCGTTGCCTCGAAGAGGCAGGTCTCCCTTATGCTATGGCAGTTTCTCATCTCCGCCTCCAAGGGAGACTACCCCGTGTTTCTTATTCTCGTCTTTCAAAACGTCCCCCCACTTCTGAGGTTCCATCTTCTGCAGCCTCCTCTGCGGTTGAAAGTTCCATAGTCACTCCTGTATCTAATTCTTTTGCTGTCCTGGGCTCAGATGTCCCTACTTCAACATCTCAGTCTGTCCTCACTTCTTCATGTTCTCCCTCACAAACCCCGGTATCGACAAGACCTCGTACGACACCTCCTCCCAATCGTCCCTCTACTTCTCAGAGGTCCAATAAATCTTCTTTAACCCCTCCTTCCCTTTATCCACCTTCACATTTTACCTTCCCGGTCTCTGTACCTGGGTCTTCCCCCTTCTCTGGCTCTGTTACAAGTGTGAAGGTTCATCCTCCTCCACGTACTGTGCCTTCCTCCCCTGTCCCCTCCCAAGTTTCTTCCTCTTCTGCCACCTCCCAGGTTTCTGCCTCTTCTGTCCCCTCCCACACTTCTCCAGTTCCCTCGACCCTTTTGCTCCCCCTACCATGGTACAGTCCATTACAGTTCCGATCTTTACTCAAACTCCTCCTCCTTCCATCTCCAATATTGTCTCCCATACGACGTCTCTGAACTCCGAAACACTTGAAGCAATCTCTGAATATATTGCAGAGACCAAACCATCAATGGACACTGATCCACCCTCTGTTCCTTCTCTTTCCTCTTCTCCATCTGCGCAACTCCTTTCTTCACAGCGCACCGTTCCTTCGCTGCTTGAACGTTTTCCTTTGCCACCGCATGTGGACTTTTCTAACCCCTCTAGTCCGTAGGTACCCTTACCTGCGGACTTCAGGTATCTTTATCGTTGCCAATCATGGCCTATTTACATTGGAATGTACACGGCCTCAGGGATAATCGGGGTGAGCTTCAGATGTTGCTCTCTCAGTTTTTCCCTGTTGGTGTTTGCTTACAGGAACCAAAATTACACTCTGCCGTTATCTATCCCATCTCAGGCTATAATTTATTGTATTCTTCAGATCCTTTTCCTGATGGGACCTTTAATGAAAGTGCCCTTCTTCTACGAACTGATATTCCGTACCATCAGCTATTTGTTCGTACTTCCCTGCATTACACAGCAGCCCGTATCCACTTGCATAGGTGGTATACACTCTGTTCTTTGTATCTCTCCCCTTCTCGGGCATTATCTATCCCGGATATTGCCTTTCTTGTTTCATCATTACCGCCACCACTTCTGTTACTTGGCGATTTTAATGCCCATCATTTTCTCTGGGGGAAGTCTCACTGTGATTCCCGTGGCGTTCAGTAAGAGGCTTTCCTTTCTACCCACCCCCTCCATGTTTTAAATACAGGTACTCGCACCCATTTTGATCCTCGGACTGATACTCTTTCTTGCATCGATCTCTGTCTGCTCTACATCCGCCGCATTAGACTTCACTTGGTCTGTTCTCCCGGATTTACATGACAGCGATCATTTCCCAATCATTCTTACTTCCCCTTCATATTCACCACCTCTTCGTAACCCACGCTGGCAATTTTATCAGGCAAATTGGAACCTTTACTCACAACTAACTGTTTTTAGTGAGGTTCCTTCTTCGTCCTCCATTGATGAGCTTTTACACCTCTTCTCGTCCTCCATTTTAACCGCAGCTTCTCATTCTATACCCCAAACTTCGGGCAGGCATTCTCAGAAATGCGTGCCTTGGTGGTCTCCTGCTTGTGCTCTTGCAGTACGTTTGTAACGCGCTGCTTGGGGCAGGTACCGGTATAATAGAACCACGGAGAGACTTCTTGATTTTAAGCAGAAGCGTGCGATCGCTCGTCGTGTCATCCGTGACGCTAAACGCACTTGCTGGTGAGATTGTTTCCACCATCACCTCTGCTCCCTCTATGAGTGCAGTCTGGAAAAAGTACGAAAACTAATTGTTTCCACCATCACCTCTGCTCCCTCTATGAGTGCAGTCTGGAAAAAAGTACGAAAACTAAGTGGTAAATATTCTCTTGACCTGGCTCCTGTTCTGCGGGTTGCCGGTGTTCATATAGCAAACCCACTAGATATTGCCAATGAAATTGGCAATCATCTGGTCCGTATTTCTCAGGGGCTCCATCTATGCCCCTCGTTTCTTTCCTCAAAGTCTGCCAGAGTTAGCACCCTTGGACTTTTCTTCTCTCAGAGAAGAACAGTATAATGTGCCTTTTACACTTCAGGAACTGCAGGCAACACTCTCAGCTTGCCGATCATCGGCAGCTGGGCCCGACGACATTCCCATTCGTATGCTACAACATTTACATCAGTCAGCCCTTGCAGTTCTATTACGCCTTTTCAATCTTATTTGGTCACAAGGAGTTCTTCCACAGCTGTGGAAATCTGCCATTTTTCTCCCTTTCCGCAAACCGGGTACTACGAGACATGAAGCCTCCCACTATCGTCCCATTGCTCTTACTAGTGCAGTTTGCAAAGTGATGGGACGCCTGGTAAATAGACGTTTAGTGTGGTATTTAGAGATACACAACAGTCTCTCCACTCGTCAATATGGCTTTCGCAAGGGCCGCTCTACCATAGACCCCTTACTACGCTTGGATACGTATGTTCGTAATGCTTTTGTGAATAACCACTAAATTATTGCCATATTTTTTGACCTTGAGAAGGCATATGACACAACTTGGAGGTATAATATTTTGGCCCAAGCCCACTCCTTAGGCCTCCAAGGCAATCTACCATCCTTCCTTAAGACTTTTTTAACTGACAGACATTTCCGTGTTCGGGTTAATAATGTGCTCTCCCCGGACTTTATCCAAGCTGAAGGTGTCCCCCAGGGATGTGTTCTGAGCACAACGCTATTTTTCCTTGCTATAAATGATTTGGCCTCTAGTCTTCCACCCAATATTTGGTCATCACTCTATGTTGATGACTTCGCTATTGCCTGTGCAGGCGCTGACTGTCACCTCATTACAGTTTCTCTCCAGCATGCGGTCGACCGTGTTTCCAATTGGGCCACCACACATGGGTTTAAATTTTCCAGTACCAAAATTCACCAAATTACTTTCACTAGACGCTTTGTCATCT